ATATTTTTGTAGAAAATCACAGTAGCGCCATCTATCTTATACGTTTGAATCTTTAAACTAATCAAATCGGTGCCAAGCAATAATTGATAATAGAGACTACATCAAATATTAGATAATTACGCATTACTAAAAATCTCTTCTATTTTCATTAAAACAAAAACAACTTTACTCTATCTTTTATTCTTTTCAGATTATTACTCACACTTTCTTGTTGAACAGACTGTATATTACATCATGCCTTTACATGATTGATGCTATTATACCTTCAGTACCAGGTGATTGTATAATTGTTATATTTTCATCACCGCTGCCATTTTGGGCAATTTCGGAAGTCCGATAATAATCGAGGACATTGTTTCTTGTTTGAGAGAACGAGCAAACATTTCGTAGTTCCGTCGCCTTCATTATTTGTCTGGCCTCTGATTTGCGTTCGAAGGGTGACATCAGTATCAGACGCCGTTTTGACGATGCTCGAACTGAGACTTCAAAAATCAATAATTTTGAAACCATTTTCTGATTATAGAACTCAAATCGCGCTGATATAGATTTCATTTCGAAATTCAATGCTATAAAGAAATAAAAATTCATTGCACATTGTGACAAAATTTTAATAAATAATGACATCTTATCACACACATTACCAAAATATTTCAACATAATTTTTTATTTAATATTTAACTTAATATCTGAAAAAAATTTAAATTACGATTAAAAAAGAATGGCAATGTTTAGACATCTAAAAGTCTTAGTGATATCTTTATGATATGTTTTGACCCGATTTTGGACATGCGTGTTGTCTGAGTAAGTTCTAGTATAGTTTATATAGCAATAAAAAATATCTAAGTATTTATCTAATATCAACATAATACGACTAATTTCATTATGCATTATAAACTTTCTTGTGTCTTCTCTATCTCTAATACTTTTCCGCAGTGTTACGTAATTGCTGATAACTAACTTACCAGTCGTATCAATTTTATCTCCTGATGCACCCTTACATATGTTTTTCGATTCCTTCGACGATTCAGTCAATGCGGATAAACTTCTTGAAGCGATGGTTGCTTGATGATTACTGTCATTGCCATGACAGACATTTGGCAAGGATTTACCCTTCGGCTTTAACAGAGTGATTTGCGGAAAACAAGAACCTGACAAGTAGTTATTTAAAATATTATTTTTATCGAAAAGCATTAAACGTGTTGCGACCAATATATTATATAGCAATTTTGGAAGCGTCATATTTACTTTTTCTTCTTGCATGTCTTTTCACGGGACTGCAGTGTCCGTATTCCGAACATGTCTGTCCATCAACACAATCCTGATCCATCGAGCGCTTTTCATCTCCTGTATTATTTTTGTATTGTTCCATTGCTTGACGTTCCAATTCCTGCGATATCGTAATGTAAACATCAGTGTAATGATATTCCATGTAAGAAGTTGAATGAAAATTAATCGAAAACGCGTTTGTGAAACGGAGCATTCTACTTTCAAGCATTAAGAATGATTGAAAATTCTTTGTTGAAAGTTCTTTTGTAAAATGTCGTTTGATAACAATTGGAGTAAAAAGAAATAAATAATTTATTACTATTAAATCTAAATGTCAAAGAATCTGTAAGATCACACGGTTTTCATAATCTTGCTAATTTTTTTTTAATGATTCCTTTTAATTTTTTGCGAGGATATATGCCACAAAATAAATATTCAAGTTTGGAACGTTACCTGATATTTGAGCGCCAGTGACTCCTCCGAATTTCTGTATTGTTCCATCGCTTGCTGTTCAAGCTCATCGTACCTAAAAACCAGTGAAACATCAGTTGCGTTCAGCAGGAAAAGCTTTGAAACTGTTATAAAATCTTCAATGTGATTTATACATTTAGATCCAGTGAAGAACAAGATTAATCATATTAAAGAATTTTATAAATTACAAAACTGCTTTCTCTCTGTTAAATACAGCTATTCAAACTACAGATGAATTTAATAAAAATAATGAATAACTTTCCGCCAAATCATCCAAACTTTTAAAAAATTTTTAATCGACAACTTCAATGTACCTCTTTTCGAAGACATTATCTAAGATCGCCTCGTTCGTGGCATTCGCCAGAACGTCTCTATAAAGCGGCCGCTTCGAGTTCTTGTCCTCTTCAGCGTCTAAAGCTCTGTATCTTGAGCTCTCGTTTCCAAAGAATCTGTCTTTTGACCTACAGCTTGAGCTCTCGTTTCCATATATTTCATTCTTTAACCTGAACGAAGTTTCAGACAACCTTTGCTGGTCTCGTGATGATTCGGCGACCGTTCTCCAGCTAGTATCGGCTCCTCTGCAGTATTCGTACTTCTCCTCAAAACTGCGTAGCTCAGATACGAGTGCGTTTACGGTCACGACCTCCTTCGTTTTCTTCGCACTGTGATCCCTATCGAACCATTGCACCTGCACATTGTGACTGGAAGTTTTTAGACTCTGTCTGGAATCCAGAAGGAAAGGCTGCTGAACAGGGGGCTTCGAGTGGCCTCGTCGCGTCTTGATGCTATTTTTTGTTAGTAGTATGAGATTGTTGAAGTCGACCCCTTGATTCTTCCGCTTCAGCATTGGTTCCTGATACAGTTCCACCGGTCGCTGATACACAGGTATGGGTGTCGTTGAACTTGGCTGGGTACAAGGTAAAAATTTCTCGTACATCTGCAAAATTACGATGTATAATTTTATTTTTATGAATAGTTTTGTGGAAATTTTTAATAATGATGTAATATTACTAATCTTATTCATCAATTATAATGATTTGTATTATATTGATAATAATTGTAATGTGAAAAATAGTTGTAATAAATTCTCTCTCTCTCTCTCTCTCTCTCTCTCTCTCTCTCTCTGTCTACCTATTATCTATTTATCTATCTATCTCTATCCTCCCCCTTTTTTTTCAAATATGAATATATTGTAGAACCTTACGTCTGCAATTTAGGTATTTTTTGATACAAAAAATTTCACTCTCAATTTTCTTCACAATAAAGAAGATTCCCTTATTTGCCAAAAATTATATCTTAATAAACAAAAAACATTTTTTCTTTGTTGTTGCTTTTTAAATTTTATTAAATAAAGGTTTTAACATTTCAGTTAAAAAACACAGATTGCAGACGAAAGGATTAAAAATATGATTGCAGATGATAGATTTTCAATCTCAAATTTCTTTTTAGTTAGATATCTTAATTCTTTCCTATAAAAATACTTTATATAAAAAATTATTTTTATATAAAAAGTGCCTGTAAAGGACGATGGCCGACGATTGCAGCATCGTGAATTGGTTGCAGCGGCGTGCAGATTGATAGTGGTGACGAGGAAGATGCTGTCAACTGCAATTGCACTGGTGGTACTACTCTGTGAATCCATTCTTGAGGCGAACGAAACACATTCGTTTCTGTCGCTGATAATATTGACATTCTAGCATTCTGTAAAAAGAAGTTGCATAGCTAAAAGATTTTAATAATCAATTCGTATTAATAATATAAATTATAAAAAAATTTTTTTTTTTAACTGACAAATTAAATTAATTTTAATTTTAGCGTAATACGATCGTTTTTCTTTCAACGCAACCAAGTTTTTATTGCATTGGAGACTGTAATGAAGAGTTTATTTATAACATTCATTAAGGTACATTTTGCATATTACGATTCTCTATATATATATTTATGTATATAGAGAATCGTAATATGATAACATTCTATGAGAAACTTCAACTTTTGACTGATCTCTTTCAGAAACGTCTAAACGTGATCTTGATACAAAAAACCTGTATTGTTTAGCTGAACTTCTTATACTACTCATCTTTTCTCTTATTTCTCCAATGCGAAAAAAAAAGAGGAAAGATGATCTATGCAAGAAGTTTAGCTGAAGAAAACAGATTTAAAGTTTACTTCTGTAAGCCGTACGTTTACTGGGAAGACAGTCGCCGCAGTCTCCTGCTGCGGCCTGTTATAAGGAAACAACTCGTTTTGGTAATTCCTGTCATTCAACGACGGGAAGTACCGTATCTGGCAAGTCTTGCGCTCTTTGTCATTATTCAAGTTATATGCTATCGAGGGTAGGCTCGACTTCGGGAAGAATTCAGGCACTTCGGCGCTCAGAATCGGTGCCGGCGGCGGCGGTGGTGGTAATGGAGATGATAATAACGGTTTTCGCTGATATTCTCGCATGATCAAAGGTTGATACTGCAACGCGCAGTAGAACTGATGATGTTGGGTGACAGGCTGCGTCTGTCGTCTGGTACGTGATTGCTGGCTCTGCTGATAGTATCGCTGCTGTTGCTGCTGCTGTTGCTGCTGCTGTTGAACCATTTCAGAGTTCCATATGTCGCGCACAGCGTTGCTCTCGATACGGAACTGCAGCTGCATTTCCGCGGCAGTCTCGGCGGTGTATCGGCGATGACGGGCAAATATTCTGATTAATTTTCCTAATAGCACATACGTATAGTAAGGAATAAAAGAAGCGTAAGACGATAGCATTTGAGTCTTTAAACTTAGGTACTAGTTTTAAAATGCTAGTGTTTTAATTATTCTCTGTGTATCTCTAACATATCTCAACTTCTCAACAAGAATTTTTTATAATAATTATAAATATAATTTTATTTTTAATTAAATTTAGGAAATGCTAATTAGGTGCTAATTGTAATTGTTATAATTATAGGTACAAATGTTTATTGTATTAAAATATAATAAATTACATAAACGAGTTTCTAAACAAAAGTATTCGTTGGAACGATTGTAATAATTATTTTACTTTTCACTGCGTTACAAAGTTGTTGCGAGCGCCATTTGTAAAAAAAAAGTAGCATACATTTTTATATATAAATATTAAAAATTTTATATATAATAAGATAATATATAAATAATTAATAAATAAATATAAAAATATGTAATTAATAAAATAATTTTATAATAGAATAAATAACAAAAAATGGAAAGACAAAATCATTATTTGTATTATTTTCGTATAAAGATCTGTACAGGTGTATGATTTATAGATTTATAATTTGTATCCTTATTAACTTGTAAGATTACTGCTTACCGCCCTCGTCAGATTTATAAGTCGAAAGTAATTCATCGCTCAATCCAATTTTTCTGGTCCCTTTTGGACTGGTCTTTTGACGTCGCTTTTTCGAGCTCTCGTTCCAGTCCAATTGGAAGTTCAAGCAAGCAACGGTTTCATTATCCCTCCTCGCGGTGTTACTCTTTAGTATTTGTATTGCTGAGCTTTGCAAATTGAAAGTACTAATTAACAAGATATTAAAGTCTAATCGCAATCAATATTAGATGTATTTAGAATTTTCATCGTCTGCGATACAAACATTTGTTGTGATAAATATAAAACTCAGAAAGAAATAAAAATTGGACCGACGTCGATTATGTAATCTAATCGACGTCATTTCAATTAATATTTCTCCCTCAGAATGAATCAATTGATTTTAATTAAATTGCAATTAATATATTATATCTTCGATCGCTAAATAAGACTTATATATCATCCTTAATTAAATATTACAGCGTAGATGGGTCATAATTCGTGATAATTTCTTTATCACGAAATTGTGTAGAGGGAAGAACTTCGCGGATCGTAAAAATAACACCGAAGTGCCGAAGCGAACTAACGGTTCCCGATGTGATCGCGTGCAACTCGGCGAAATTAACCGGGCGAAGTGTTCTTGAACTTCAGGAAGCATCCACGGTTCCACAGTCTCCGTAGCTGAACGGAAGTGGCAAGGCACGCTACCCGACGATTTACCGTCGTCCGGCTTGTACATTCTCTCATGCTGCTCGTCGTACTCGTAATTACCGTATTTCGCCAAGCGCGATTCGGAGATGACGTCTCGAACGAGTCTTGGACGATAATCACCATATTCCTCGTACTTCGCGATTACTTCGCAACTCTGGCATTAAACGCGCGCGATAAGTTATCATTATGTCAAAATAAATTTTCCTTCCTCTCATCGCGAAAAAATCTGCACTGTTGCAATACGCGCGAGCTTTTTTTTTTTACTTTCAACAATTCACAACTATATTTTTTACTATCTTCAATAAATGAAAATATCAAAATTTGTGATTCTAAGTGATCCAACATAATTTCCGTTATCTTCAGAAAGAATATCTCTGTCGATTCAACGCGGCAGAGTGGAGATTAATTTTTTTATTGTCGCACTGGACTGCGATAGAATTTTCTTTTTCACTGTCACCAAATAATAAACATACCTGTTTTATTTTAAATACAAAAAGTGTACATTGGTCCAGCTATAAAAAACAAATTTTTGACAAAATTTTGATTCCTTTCCTCTCTTACGCGTAAAGTGTCCTCAGACAATGATAAATGA